GGATCCATCAATCGGGCTGGTCCTGCTCAGTCAGACCTTTTGCATACTGCAGATGGGGATGAAGTCCCTGTGGTATGTGAAAGAAACCTGCTGGGTAAAAGTGTTTGGGTCTATCCTGCTTCAGGCAAAGGTAAACCTGTCAGGGGTATTGCTTTTGCACAGGGACCTGGACATACCTGGTGTGTAATGATGGAGGACGGTGAAGTACAATATGTACCTCAAGGTAATCTGACTTTGGGAGAGAATCCTTAATTTGACAGCTGGTAAAGTATAGAGCCTGTATGTAATACATGGTATGGAATAGGGGTGGAATGTCCTGGTTTGAGCCAGGATGAAGCCAATTTTTCTTTTTACTGATTTTTTTTTCCTTCACTAAGCTTTCTTTTAACTAGCAACAGTGTGTTCTGCTAGGCTGATAAGACAGAGGAATGTTTTTCTAACTACTGAGGCTTCAAGGCCGCACCTGCACTCTGCCGGCTCAGACACTATGGGGAGATCTGTGACCCCCCCGTAGGAGGCTGAGTTAGACAGCAAAATTGGCCAAAGATATTCCATTCCATATATCTACATAAGCTCAAAGGAAGGTCAGAGATACCTGAATATATCTGTATATAACTGTATATATTTTCTTGTATCATTCATTAGTGTTTTAATGAAAGCTGTGTAGTTTAGTTTTCAATCCAGCCAAGTCTCTCTCTTTTTCTCTCTCCTTCCCTAACTGGGTGGAGGGGGGAGGGGATGGAGAGCATTGTTGTCGGACCTGAGTCAAACGGTGACAAACTTTGAGCATCTGGAAGCTGAAAATCCACATGTCAAACATTTCCCAGAAAAAAAACTTCTTTTAAGCCCTTGCCGTTTAGGAAGAATGAAGTTGGGAAGAAACAGAAAATTTGTGAATCAAAATGTCACAGAAAGCTCAAGGCAGAAAATAATAAATTTAAAACAGTGGCCCCAAGTGAAATACAAACTAGATAAAGGGGGAAAAAAAACTTTCAAAAAACCTAAGAAGCTCTCAATGAATTCAAACCAACGACACATATCAAAATACAGGCAGTATACATTTAACCCTAAGAACAAATGACATAATATGGCAGGATTTATCCCAAAAATCACAGATCTTTGCCCAAGAAGGTGAACTACTGTACCTCCCTAAAAAAAAAACACCACACCAACCAACCCTCCTTTCCCATTAAAAATTATAACATAATCAAGTGGCAGAAACAACATAAAATCAAGAAAATAAATTATTCTAGATAAAGCTGAAATTGGAAATAACTCTGAATCTAGAAAGTTAAATCTGAAGAGACTAAACATTCACTTTCAGCATGTGCTGAGGATGGAAAAAAACCCCAGAAAAATCATCCTAAATGTACGCTTAACATCCAAAAAAAATATTACACGTAGAATAACTTAGAAAAATTAAGAGGTCATGAAAGCCATGGCTAAAATGTCAATACTGTAAAGAAGCCATGTAACATATGATAATTTCAACAGTGGAAGCTTTAAGAGACCCCACAATATATATACACTAGATATCCCAGAAATTGATGCATTGCTTTCTAAAGCACATCAGTCTAACTTGGAATAGGCAGAAGTAACTAATAACACATGGTTAGAGATCCTTTTCCATACCATCTACCTTGAAAATAATATTTCAGGCTGCACCTTCTTTAAATAGGTGCTTCTTTAGTCTGCCATGGAAGAACAACCTGCAGCTTTTGGCAAAGTCACACTATAAAACTTAAGTCTCATCTGTGACATTCCTGTTGAAAGGAAACTTGATGCATGAGAAAGAATTCTCACAAAAGGAAGTGCTGTATGCATACTGTCTTTTAAGGATATTGCTTTCTTATGAATTACGTCCACCTTACATACAGCTTTTAGAAAAGTTCAGCCTTCCTAGCTTTCTTTACTCTAAGGTTTTCTAATAAAACAATGTAAAGGTCGCTAGCAGCTTTATAGAACCAAAACACGAGTAGGTACTTGCAAGGGAAGAGGGTGCTTCCTTTTGCAGTAGTGATTCTGCAAGACTTCCCAGCACTTCTCTGAAGAATTTATTAAAGCACACTGTGTCATACATAAACATTTATAAAAATAAAGTCACAGACTTCAAATATGTGTACACATCACATGAAGTACCAGAATTCTTATTAATGTGCTGCTTTACAAAGAGGCAATTTACATATCCTACTGATACCTGGACTTTTGATCATATAATTTTTAGGACTTCTTTGATACAGTGACAGACTGATTTAGCTAAATTGTATCACTAGATGTGTTCAGTTTCTTTCTGCAAACTATCCATCAGCTGCTGAAGACTCAAGATTGGAAACTGCGAGTTCCTTCCTAATGAATCTGCCTGAGATTTAGCCACTCAGTTGATAGGGGATCACTCTATTGCATTGTTTTTTTTAGAATACAAACCACCATCAGTTTAGCCACAAGTCTTCAGAACACCACCAAATTCTCATATTTTAATGGCCTTATTAACTGTGGTCATTCAGACTGATTCTCCTGTTCAGCAAAAGCAGAATACATTAGGCTGCATGATTTTTATTTATACCATAAAACTGACAGCTGAGACAACTGCAGGTGTGTGTATTTGCACTAGTGGTGGAGACAGTGCCTACTGTCAGGCTTAATTTTAACCTGACAGTGGTAGCTAATACGAAAGATCATTGTCTAAACAGTTTCAGCTTAAATTAGTTTCAATAAAGGTATTCCACCATAGTTTGCCTCATACAAATACAGAAATTTAACATTTATTCTCTCTCTCTCTCATACATGTCCAATGCCTAAGGCAGCAAAACCAGCATCTGACTTTTCTCCGCTCAAGTTATCATTCTGAGGTTGTATGACAATCCAGGAAGATCTGTGATACATGGTCCATGTGCATAATTTTCTTGGGACTTTTCAAAGCCAGCAGGTTGCTGAATTGTTTCCTCTACTGACTCTGCAACTTTTGGTTGCTTAAGCCCTCCTTACCATAATACTGTTAACTACAACTACCACGTGAACCAAAAAGCAGAAACCCCTACGGACATACCACTATAGCATTTTCTTAAGAAGTGAAAATCCCAAGAGTGGCACTGTAAAAATCAGGTGGGAAAATTACAAAGTTACTGTAAAGACCAAATGCAAGCTATTTAAAAGTGTAATTAATTTATCGATAAAGACGATCCATTTCTGAGCAATCTACAAAAGTTGAAGAATTACCATTTCCATAATTTCTCCACACAACATAAGCAAAATATCTTAAATTGTACTGATTTCCCTTGTGCCTAGTATTTTCAGCTATCACAATACCATTGTTGCTAAAGCTAACATCTGAGTCTTGCAAGTCAGTATTTTTTGACTTGTATTTTAATTCACCAACACAAGGTTATGGCCCTAGAATCTTTACAGTTTACATCATGCTAGTCTATAATCTATTCCACGTCTTCAAAGGACTAGACGTAATCCATGTGTTCCTCATTAATTTATGCAAAAGTAATTGCACCTAAGTATTTTACAGCTTAAGGAAATAAAAATTTACCTGATTGAGTAACACAGGCTGTGCAGTTACAATAGTCACTGCCCTGGATACAGGTTGATCCACTACAGGAACCGTGATAGCTCTTGATACTGGCTGTGTCGTCACTGGAAGGGTTACAGGTCTGGTAACAGGCTGTGGTATTCCAGAACTTGACCCAGGCATCTGCTGTGTTGATAAACATCCAGCAACTGGTCTCTGCAGCATTTGTGAAGTTTCTGAAACATTCACTGGTGTAGACAATAGCTGAACTGCTACAGAGCTAGTTGTAGGTCTGGATACAGACTGAAAGACTGATGAAACAGGCATGGCACTGGGGCTGGAGGCAGGTGTCGCATAATGGTGGTGACTGTCAGGCTCGAATGTAGTAACTGTACCTGTTGCAAAGGATGCCAAAGTTATCTTTATGCAATTTTGCAGTCAGATGTTTCATAAGTGTTGTGCATTTTTTTGTTTTAATTACCATATTAGGACAATAAAGTACCTCTACTGGGTGCACCATTCTGTATCCCCCTTCGTGATGAGCTGAGGTTGACTCTGTTCAATATATCTGTCAAAAGTTACATTTATCTTAATTGCAGTTAATAGCTTAATTGCTTTTCAAATTAAAAATAGCATTCATATCCACTAATTAAGCCAATTAGGATTTGACTTATGAATTAGAATATTATTTCTAAAATAAATACCTGGCAAAACAAAGTGTAATTTGTACAAATTATCTTCTACTCCTCTTCTCTTAGGTTAAGCTAGTTCACCTAAGAATCTCAACTTTTATTTTCTTGGAGACAGATTAACACACAAGTAAGAGTGCAAACAACAACAAAAAAACACATTTCATGCATATTTAGCTTGGCTGATTATAAAGCATTCATTGACTTCTGTTTTTCATCTATATGATAAATTCCCCAAATATCAGAACTGCTCTACAGCAAAGATTAATTCTCTTTAAACCAGTAAATACACAATTTGCTGCTGTGCTGCAGGAAAACACAACACTCTATTTATTTTTTTTAACTTAATGATCTCCATTTTCCAATAAAAAAGAAAAAACAACAGACCAGTAATCAAAGGAGTCATTCTGGAATTGCATTACAGGAGGACTGATTTTCTTACATATTCTATATAGTAGTTAAAAACCAGAGTTTTAGCTCATCAGAACTACATGGAATGTCTTTGATTCAATGTTTACTCCCTAATTAATGCCACCAATATTCCCTGACTTTTTAAGTCTTAGCCTGAGGTTTCTGATCATCCCAGAATGTTACACATATATTCAAATAAAAGTATTTTTCTACTACCAGATTCTCAATTTCCTTAGTGTAGCTATCAAGTTTCTTGCTCTGACGTGTGAAAATAATGCATATGAAATTAGATTGATGCTCCAATAGCCAACCAACACAGTTTAACCACCCTCTCAAACAAGAATTAAATTACATCAGGATCATAAACAAGAGATCTACACATTCTATTTAACAACCTTAAGGCTATTTCCACCAGAAATGGCTTATTAGTATAACACTGCTCAGGCTGATAAATGTAATAGCAGTAGAGCTCAGAAGATCACAGCTTTCACCTGCATTTAGACAATACTAATAAGAAAGCAGCTGGGACCAACAGATCCAAACAGGTTTGCATTTTCTTAAGATATGACAAAATGTCATCCTGTAATAGTAATAACTATTTTTACTTCAACACAACTCTGAACTATGAGCAAAGATGAATTTAATTCAGTATTTAACTGAGTATACACTTTAATTAATAAATCTAAATCTCACATTTAAATTTCAGAGTGAAATGAAAATAAACCCTTAGTCTACCTACAAAAAAAAGCTATCTCACAAATTATGTCTCACAAAACATTCAGCTTCAGTCAGTCTGATCCACACACAATTGACATTCTAAAATACAAAGGTAGATTTTACTGTTTTTAAAAAGAACATTTCAGGAAATCAGCGATTTGAAATTATAAACTAGATTTACATAACTGATTCATTACAGGCTTGATGTGCCCTTTTCCCTTCTCCATCAAAGTGTTATTTGTCCTGTTCAGGTAAAACAGCATTGAAGTATAAGCAAGCTAACATGCACAAAAACATGTAAAATAGCAACAAATTACAGCTTTGTATTATTATGAATAAGGAAGAAAGAAAAAAAGAGCAGTAACTGTAGGG